TGACGCGGATGATGAGGATGATGATGATGATGATGATGATGATGCTGCTGCTGATGATGATGGCGAGGAAACAAAAAGTAGTGCGAACCCAAGACTGACCAAAGATGTTGCAATCGACCCTCCTTCTAAGCTTTCTCTTCACACGCCCCTGCAAGGGTTCATTTTCACTGGAGGAAGCACCCCGTTGGAAATCAAGCGTTCTAAAATGCTGAACTTCGCCAGAACACCATCCCTGGAACTTCAATGCCGCGAATTACCAGTACTGTTACGTCTTGACGATTCTGAGTCGTGCCCGAACACCATTTCTGAGACTTCAGCACAACGAATCAACGTGACTGTTGCGCCCTGGCGGTCCGACACCGTGCCAAAACATCGTTTCCGGGACGCAAGCAATTAGACTATTTGAAGCTGCTGTAAACTCTGAAAGCAAATGCGCGCGGTTCCAAAGCGAAGCCATATTTTGAAAAAGAGCCGCCCTCCATCAGTGAAGCTTGTGCAATTCTTGTATTGCGAATGTGGGCGCCGCTAAGGCGAGAGCCACATCTTAAAAACGACCCGTCCTCCATCCGTAAAGCTTCGGCCTTTCTCTAAGAACACATGTGCGCGGCGCCAAGGCGAGAGCCACATGTTTAAAACAACCTGTCCCCAATCCGTGTAACTACCAAATTTGGGGACCGATGTTCGCGGCGCTACAGCGAGAGCCGCATTTTGAAAGCGGCCCGCCCCCTATCCGCGAAGCCGTTACCATGTTTCAGTTTCAGGATCATAATTGGTGAGGAAGTCTCCTGCGAAACGCCCGGCCCGCCCTTCCGACTGGCCTCGGGGTGCGACAGGGGGGAGTTATCCACAAGGAAAAGCAACAGAGGTGGAGGAGGAACGAAAGGGCTTCGGTAGGATTGAGAAAGGGTGACAGCGAGAGGAGCTCTGACGGGTTCTAGGTGGCCCAGGAGGAGGAGTTCGAAGCCTCTCGGAAGTATTCCAATCGTTTCGACGATTTGGGGGTATCTTCACTTGCTTCTGGCTGCGTTCGGTGCTTCATGCGTTTCCCGTGAGTGATGTTTCCAAAGGTTTCGCGAGGAGGAGGAGGAAGAACCGTACATATGAATGTAGTGCACCTTGGTGGTAGCAGTAGGAGAAGGAGGACAAGGAGAGACGGGAGGGGGTAGCTGTACGAAAGGAAGGGGGAGGGAAGGGAAGGAGGGAAAAGAGCATCAGCGGGAGGGGGAGGGAAGGGAAGGCGGGGCGGGGGCCCGAAATCTGGCAGGAAGGAGGAGGAGGAGGAAGAGGAGGGGGAGGAGGAGGAGGAGGAGGAGGAGGAGGAGGAGGAGGAGGAGGAGGAGGAGGGGGGAGGAGGGAGGAGGAGGAGGAGGAGGAGGAGGAGGAGGAGGAGGAGGAGGAGGAGGAGGAGCAGGAGCAGGAGGAGGAGGAGGAGGAGGAGGCAGAGGAGGAGGAGGAGGAGGAGGAGGAGGAGGAGGAGGAGGAGGAGGAGGAGGAGGGAGGAGGGGGGAGGGAGGAGGAGGAGGAGGAGGAGGATTTTTCTTTCACGCTCGATCCCTGTCTGACCCCCACCGAGTGGGGACCACCGCTCCTCACAGCACAGTCCAAGGAGAGGGAAAAACTGTACATGTTTCTCCCTCTTGATCTGCTGTGGGTGTCGGCACTGGCTGAAATAGTTCCAGGCCGTAAGTCCAGCACCAGCCTTCTTGCTGGTGCATTCTTCACCCAGCTTCTTGACACGGCCTCCAGTATTGTAAAAACCGCATCGACGGCAGATACAGAGGAAGGAGCCGTCTGAGCAGTCGACCACCGCACACTGGTGGCCGTTCTGCTCCAAGTGGCTCGGACAAAGGCGGGGCGGTACGACACAACGGCCAGGAGCAGGGCGCAAGTGTCCTCTCCCCCCCCCCGTAGGCAAGTGCCACACTGCCAGTACTCTCCAGTCCAGGCCCACTCGTGTGGCGACTAAAACGCCTGAGGGGCCTTGGGCGGCGTGGTGAATTGGATGCCTGAAAGATCGAGCCTCAGCCATCGAGGCAAGATGTTGGCCGCCAACAAGATGACGGCCTTGGACACTCGAATCTCGCGCTCTTCGCGAGACAGCACATCTGGAGAGGCCAGGGGATGGACTCCCGCGCCTTGCTTCGCAGCACGGTCGGCATGAGAGTTGCCAGCTCTACGCCAAGCGTCCTGCACAGACATCCCCGCCTCGTCTAACACTTAGTGCGCAGCGACTTTGACCAGGCCCTGGAGAAAGGGTCCCGCCCCAGAGAAGGCGTCCAGCACCGAGCCCGCGTATGCCCGATGCCCCCCGATGCGGTCCTGAGGGTCCATGGAGCAGACCGAGACGACCGACGCACAGTCGGAGAAAAGAGACGTCGGCCCGTCCAAATTGACACCAGCAGCGGCCAACGAGGAAAACTCACCTGTCTGGGACGACTGCGGCAAGTGAGGCCACACGGGCCCAGACACTCTGGCCAGCATGTGGCCTTGCTCCGACATCAAGCCAACAGCCCAGCCCGCTCTGGACAGCTCGCTGATTTTGGACTGGAAGCAACTGCCGTCCAGGAAAAGATTGCCTTCGAATCGAACCTGCTCGGGCCCAGGAAACTCCAACCCCGAATACAGGAAACCCTGCCCTAAGAACCCAACCTGAACTCCATCCATGCCCTGTTGCCTGACAGGAGGCGGCACGTAGTCTCCTGGATGGGCGAAGGCACCAGTCAGAAAGTTGACCAGGTCAGCCGAATAACTGTCGGGAGGAGGAGGAGGAGGAGGAGGAGGAGGAGGAGGAGGACAATTATGATGATGAGGAGAAGGAGGGGGAGGGGGGCGGCGAGAGGCGCGGCTGAAGGGGGGGGAGAAGGAGGGAGGGGATCCAAGCCAGGCGATTTCGCGTCGTGTCTGAAGTCCCACCCTCCCTCCCATCCATTACCAGTGCGTAGACAAGGGCGCCCTCGAGGGCGCGAAGTTATTCGCGCTTCGCGGTTCGGCTCCGATTCCTCGTCATCCTCCTCTTCTCCCCTGGGAGGCGGCGCGAGAGCGCGAAGCTATTCGCACTTCGCGCTTCGCGCAGCGCGAAGCGCGAAGTTGGGAGCCCTTGGTAAAGCCCTTCTCTATATTCGCACAGTCGGGTGTCGAAGAAGTCAGTGGTCCCAGCAGAGAGTATGCCGCACAGTCTCGCATGGCATGGCATGGCATGGCATGGCGTAGGGGAACACAGCTGATCGCAGCATGGCATAGCATGGCGTTGCATTGTGTAGCCAAGCGTTTGATATCACAGCATTGCATCGCAAGGCATGGTACCGCACCGCGGTGCACAACTTATCAATACTCTGCTTGCCATGGCATGGTGGCGCAACATCTACCCTCGCATGGCATTGCGTAGCCAAGCGTTGCATAAGACGGCATTGCAGAGCAAGGTGGAGCATCGCAGAGCGGCATCTCATAGTGGGCATGACGCCAGCATGGCAGTGGGAACACCTCTGGCAAGGAGAACAATGCGGAAATGGGGCCAGCGCCGCAGGAGGAATATTACGTTCAACTACATACCGAAAACGAGGAATGATGCCAACGCTACAGCGGGAGCACCACTGAGAAGGACCGACAGCGCGGATGTGATGCCAATGTTGCGCGGGAGAATCATTTTGAATTGCCGAGAACGCAGAAAGTGCGCAAATGTCGCAGTGGGCGCACTTTTTGGAAGGACGGAGGAAGTCCGGGCTGGAAAATATAAGAGAGATCATCGTTTGAGAACCCTGCGTGTGAAAACAAAAACACATACGCGGAGGGGGCGCGATATACTCTCAGCACGTCCTCGGGGGAGAGGAGAGTAGTATTCATATTGCCCAACATGGAAAGGAAGGGGAAAAGGAGAAGGGGAGGGGAGGGGAGGGGGTCTTTGGGAGAGGAAGCGAACGGGGCAGGGCAAAGGGGAAGGAGGGGGGGGAGAATCCTCTGCCTCCCCCTCCTCCTCACCCTTCCCCTTTTTCTCCTCTTCCCCCTCCTCCTCCTCCTCCTTCTCCTCCTCCTCCTTCTTCTCCTCCTCCTCCTCCTCCTCCTCCTCCTCCTCCTCCTACCCCTCCTCCTCCGGCACCGTGTTTGCGCCGAGGGCGAACGTCTACCGTTTGTTATGTTGATGGCCTCTGGAGCCTCACGTATGCCTTGCGAGCATCTATCGTTTTTTTTGTTAATGGCCTCTGGAGCCTCATGTGTGTCTTGCGTACCTCTATCATGATTTGGTGTGGCCTCTGGAGCCTCACTTGCTTTTTATTGTTCAAGGTCCTTGCCCGCGGCGTTGTGCGCCTGAGGTAAGGATGAGCCCGCTGCGAGGGCGACTTCGTGCGTAGGGCCTGAATCGGCTCGGTGCTCACCCAACAGAAACGGCTTGACCCTTCCTTCGTGGACAGCCGAACCGAACCTCCTCTCCTCCTCCTCCTCCTCCTCCTCCTCCTCCTCCTCCTCCTCCTCCTCCTCCTCCTCCTCCTCCTCCTCCTCCTCCTCCTCCTCCTCCTCTCCTCTTCTCCTCCTCCTCCTCCTCATGCTCCTCCCCCTCCTGTCCTCCCCCTTTCTCCTCCTCCTCCTCCTCCTCCTCCTCCTCCCTCCTCCTCCTCCTCCTCCTCCTCCTCCTCCTCCTCCTCCTCCTCCTCCTCCTCCTCCTCCTCCCCTCCTCCTCCTCCTCCTCCTCCTCCCCCTCCTCCCCTCCTCCTCCTCCTCCTCCTCCTCCTCTCCTCCTCCTCCTCCTCCTCCTCCTCCTCCTCCTCCTCCTCCTCCTCCTCCCCCCCCCTCCTCCTCCTCCTCCTCCTCCTCCTCCTCCTCCTCCTCCTCCTCCTCCTCCTCCTCCTCCTCCTCCTCCTCCTCCTCCTCCTCCTCCTCCTCCTCCCTCCTCCTCCTCCTCCTCCTCCTCCTCCTCCCCCCCTCCCCGTCCTCCCCCTGCCACCCTCCGCCTCGCCCTCCCCTCCGTGGGCGGGAGGGCAGCGCTCCACGGCACGGCCCCCCCCCTCGACCGCGCCGCCTCCCGGGCCGCCTCCGCACATGGCCGCCGCGGCCCCCGCGGGCGAGGCGCCCGCACAGTGCCGCGGCCGCGCGGCCGATCGGAGGGAGACCCCCGCAGCTGGCCCGGCGCAGGCCACGGGGGGCCTTACGGGGGGGAGGCGGGGTGCACCTCGGTGTGTCGGTGGAGGTCTGTGTCCGCTCACGCTTTGCCCACGAACGCCCTCCACCATGGTTGAGGGCGGCCCGTGCCGTGGTGCTCTTTTGGACAGTGCCCCACGCCCACCCGGTTTCCTATCCACTGTCTGCACCTCCCCGTCGCCCTTCATCGTAGAATGCAAAGCAGCGTTTGTCGGCCAAAAAACAAACGACACCACCCCACCTACGGCCCTCCAGGTTGCGCTACGGCACAGGCATGCCCCTCTACAGGGGGAAGGTTCAAAAATGGTCTAAACAATAGTCTGGGGACGATTTGCTTGATTGTTCTTGAGCATTTTGGGGGCATTTGTTGCGTACGTTTCATTTGTCGCCCACAATCCCCCTGTAGGGGGACACGCCCGACTAAAGCCTACGGTTAAGTCGGGCATGCCCCTCTACTCGGGGGCGGCAAAGAGGGGGGTGATGACTAGGGGGGGGGGATATCATGGCGTGGGCCATGATATTTCCCAGATTTCATTGCGCCTCTTCTTGTTTGAAAACGTGCCCTGGCCCCCCCGCTGGGTCGCGCACGTGCCGCCGGTCATGATTTGCACCCCCCCTCTGGGACGCTCCCATTTTGGCCGCCCCCGATCTACAGGAGGAGTATCCAAAAATAGTCAAACCATAGTCTGGGGAGGATTGATCGAGTATTTGTGTTGACTTTTCTTTTATTCTTCCCAACCATCATGTGGTGTTGGGTCCTGGCTTTGAAGAAACAATCCCCGCGTTCCTCCCTCCCTCCTCCCTCCTCCCCCTCCTTCCACCCCTCCTCCATCCTCCCTGCGTTTCACCCACCCAGTACACCGTTTCGTGGCCCCATCGGGAGCGCCACCGAAGGCCCCAGTGGCACCGCCAACATGCGCCCCGAAAACTCAATTTGGCACACCCCTCACACGCTTCGTGGCCCCATAGGGAGCTCCACCATAGGTCCCAGTGTCACCGCCCGCATGCGTCCCGAAAATTCAATTTGGCACACCCCTCACACGCTTCGTGGCCCCATAGGGAGCTCCACCGAAGGCAACAGTGCCACCGACCGCATGCGTCCCGAAAAATTATTGTGGGACACCCCTCACACGTTTCGTGGCCTCATAGGGAGCCCCACCGACGGCTCCAGTGCCACCGCCCGCATGCGTCCCGAAAGCTCAACTTGGCACACCCCTTGCACGTTTCGTGGCCCCATAGGGAGCTCCACCCAAGGCCCCAGTGCTACCACCCGCATGCGCAACCCACACCCAAGTTGGCACACCCCTCAGACGTCTCGTGGCCCCATAGGGAGCTCCACCGAAGGCCCCAGTGCCACCGCCCGCATGCGTCCCCCACATCCATGTCGGTAGAGCCCTCTCACATTTCGTGGGTCCATAGGGAGCTCCACCGAAGGCCCCACTGCACATCCCTGAGACGTTTCGTGGCCCCATAGGGAGCTCCACCGAAGGCCCCAGTGCCACCGCCCGCATGCGCGTCCCCCACGCCCATGTCGGTAGAACCCTTTCACATTTCGTGGGTCCATAGGGAGCTCCACCGAAGGCCCCACTGCACATCCCTCAGACGTTTCGCGGCCCCATCGGGAGCTCCACCGAAGGCCCCAGTGCCCCCTTCTGCATGCGTCCCGAATATTCAATGTGGCACACCCCTCACACGCTTCGTGGCCCCATAGGGAGCTCCACCGAAGGTCCCTCTGCTACCGCCCGCATGCGCCCCCCCTTCACCAAGCACAGCGTTTCGTGGCCCCATTGGGGGCTGAACCGGCGCGACGGCCTCAGTGCTACGCCCGCATGCGTCCCTCCCACCCAGTACAGCGCTTCGTGACCCCATGGGGAGCTCCACCGACGGCTCCAGTGTTACCGCCCGCATGCTTCCCAGTGTTTCGTGGCCCCATACGGAGCCCCACCGAAGGTCCCAGCGCTACCGCCAGTATGCGTCCCTCCCACCCAGTACAGCGTTTCGTGGCCCCATTCGGAGCTTCACCGAAGGTCCCAGTGCTACCACCCGCATGCGCCCACCCCCCACCCCCACCCAGTACAGCGCTTCGTGGCCCCATATGGAGCTCCACCGAAGGCCCCAGTGCTACCGCCCGCACGCGTCCCCTCCACCCAGTAGAGCCCCACATGGAGCTCCACCGAAGGTCTCAGTGCTACCGCCCGCATGCGTCCCCTCCACCCAGTACAGCGCTTCGTGGCCTCATATAGGGAGCTCCACCGAAGGCCCCAGTGCTACCGCCCGCATGCGTCACCCCCAACCCAGTGCAGACGTCTCGTGGCCCCATAGGGAGCTCCACCGAAGAAGATGTTCAAAATCGCGGGATTCACAACTGCATATTTTTGGGTCCTTCGCCAGGATAATTATAATAATATTTTTTCGCCGGAAATCCGCCTGTAGGGGGACATGCCCGACCTAAGCCTACGGGCGAGGGGCAGCATTGGGATTCGGCTACGCGCAAGGGTAGCCTTTCTCGAAGAAGGAAGAACGACGTAAACATAAACGTTTGGCGCTCCGCGCGGATTTCTTGGATCCGCGCCAGGCCCCCCCCGGGCGGCGCCTCCGGCGCCGCCCCTGGCGCGCTCCGCGCGCCAGGGAGGGGGATCCAGCGCGGATCCAAGAAACCCGCGCGGCGCGCCAAAAGTGTATGTTTGTGGCGTTCGTCCTTCGTCTACTTTAGCCAGGGTGACCTTTGGTGCTGGCGCACCGGGACCCCAAGATGGCGGAAAGGCGTGCGATGGCAGCGGATTGCGCGCTCTGTTCTGCCCGCCCCCCGCGCCCCCTGGAAGCCACGCACGAAAGGTCACTTCAGCCTCTTGGGAGTAGCCGGTGGGATGGGCGTGGGAGGGGGGCGCATCGGAGGCGGCGATAGGGGCGAAAGGCCCAGGGGCGGGCCGTGCAGGGCTCCTCTCGATGCCTCCGACTCGATTCGGGCTCATTTCGATGCCTCCGAGTCGATTCGGTTCGATCTCGATGGCTTCCGATTCGGTTCGATTCGAACTCGGCCTGATCTGGATTCCGAGTTCCCCATGGGGGGCCTACCAGCTTGCCGATCTCAGACGATGCAACTTCTCCCGACTCGTGTGCCGATTTTTCCGCCGATGGAATCCTGGAGGGTTCTAACGGGGGGGCAGTGGTGTACAGTAATGTCAGAGGGCTCACGGGGCAGTGGGGAGGAGGTGGAGCGGAAGCACGTGGCGAACTGCTCGTGCTGCTCGCGGGCGATCGTCGACCACGAGCCGCTGTACATGCGGAAGGACGGTCCTCCCTCTCTGGACGGGACGGGCAAAAGGGGGGGGGGATGTGGAAAGCGGGGGTACGACATTTGCTGCATACAGCTGGTTTTGGCTCTGCCGCTGGGTACATTCCTCGATATATATATACATGTATATATATATATATATATATATATATGTGGTCGCCTCCCGCGCCATTGGAAATGCACCTACGTGAGCTGATTCGTTTGCCCTGGCTCTCGCCCCTCGTGTCCCTCATTCTGTACATTCCTGCTCATGCTTCTGCTGCTGCTGCTCCTCCTCTTCCATTCCGTTCTCTTATGAATAATTCTTCACTGTCGCATCCCGAGGCCGGTCGAAAGGACGGGCCGGGCGTTTGTCCTGAGACTTCCCCACCACTAGCGACCCTGAAACTGAGATGCTGGCAACTGTTTTACAGATGGAGGGCGAGTAGTTTTCAAAATGTGGCTCCCGCTTCAGCGCCGCGCACACTTGTCTTAAAAACCTATAAGAGTTTCACGGATTTGCGGACAGGGCGTTTTCAAACTGTGGCTCTCGCTTCAGCGCCGTGCACATTCGTTTTAAATATTTGCAAGGGCCTCACGGAGTAAGGGAGGATCGTTTTCGGAATGTGGCTCTCGCTTCAGCGCCGCGCACTCTCTCTTCAAGAGTTTGCAGGCGTTTCACGGATTGAGGGCGGTTCCTTTCCAGAGTGTGGCTCTCGGTTTGACGCCGCGCACAGTCGTTTAAACACATGCCAGAGTTTCATGGATTCTGGTGGTCAGCGTGCCAGACAGAGTGTTTTGGGAGGGCTCAGGATTATGAGGGCGCGACAGCGTTGACTCGCGGGGCTGAAGTCCCAGGCATGATCTTCTGGCACGACTCAGGATCGTCAAGCCGCAAGCAGTCTGGTTGATTCGTGGAGCTGGGGTCCCGAGAATAGTGTTTTGGCACTCTTCAGGGTCTTCAAACGGTGAGCTCCCAACGATGCAGTTCACTCAGTGAAAATGAACGCTTACATGGGCCCGTGGAAAGGGAGCTTGGAGTGAGAGTTCATTCCAACATCGTTGATGGTTCTTGGGTCTACACTGGTCCTCCTCTCATCCTCGTCCTCCTCCTCCTCCTCCTCATCCCTCCTCCTCCCCCTCCTCATCATCATCACCATCATCATCAGACGATGGTCTATAGCTTCGGGATGGGTTATTGCGACCACAAATGCTGACTTGAGTGCCTGCGCTGCCCTAGAGCAGGGCACCAGCATAGACGATATCACGATTGACGGGCGCAGAGAGAGCCACGGATGGTACGCCGCAGACTCTCTTCCGAAGCCGCGCTGTAGTATTACATTGCAGCCACCTGCGCATGTAGAAGAGAACCATTATCCATGTTCGCGCTAAGCGCATTTGTGCACTAACTCAAGCACGCTATGCCAGACGGGAGCCATCGCGGAGGTCCTGAACTCCAACTCCTCCTCTGTCTCCTCCTCCTCCGCCTCCTCTCCTCTTTCGCCTCCTCTCCCCTTGGCTCGACAGTGGTCGGTGGAGGGTGTATGATGTATCCATGTGCGGCAAGTCGGCCGCTCGCTCGACAGCTTACACCTTTCGAGTGGCACCTGGCGCTTCGCAGCATTTGTTGCCGGCTGCTCCTCGTTGTGTGCTGCACCCGTGGTCCGCTGCGTTCAAGAAGGTGTGGGCGGTGCGCACGGGGGGAGAAAGGCCGCAGACCCAGTAAGATTCCCGTCCTCCTCCTCCTCCTCCTCCTCCTCCTCCTCCTCCTCCTTTGCTCCTCTTTCAAATACCGCCGTGTGGGCCAAGGTAGGTAGTATCATTTTGTGGCGTCGGTTGGGTGGACGCGGAAGCCTGCAGTCCAGCTCCACTGCTCTGCCTGTGGCCGCTGCTTGCCCGCCGAGATGGGACCCAATACTTGCACGAAGTGACGAATGGTGGTGCAGCGTTCATCGGTGCTTGCGCTGTGGAAAAACGTCTTGCGCCACTGGTCAGAGGGTGCCTACTTCGCTCGCGCCGCAGGGCGGCAGCCACGCAGGCGCAGGCAGAGGCCCGCACAGCAGGCGTGCGCGGAGAGGCTCTGTGACGACCCCCGACGGCAGGCTCGCAGTGGTTGCGCGTTGACTGCACGAGGCGTTGCTCTTCGCCTGCTTTTCCTCCCGCACCCCCTCCCCCATCCGAGGCCCAAAAACCATCACGTCACCAAGTTTGGGTCCCGGGGCCCACTGAGGCCCCAGGGGCCCCAGATTTCGTGAAGTGGTGTTTTTTTGTCCCCCACGTAAGGACCCCGAAATTCATCGCTTCACTTGACCGAACCCAGGACGAAAGTCAGGGGCCGAATTGCTGCTGTGATGCAACATAGGTCTCGTACCCCAGCCACGCGGATCACAAGATCAGCGCTGGCTTTGGGTCCCTGACTTGTTTCGTGCGCGTTTTCCAGATGTCGTGGATCACCGACAGGAGCACCTCGTCGATGTGCTTCTCCTGCCTGCGAGCCCAGGCGGGCTGTGAGCCAGCATGTCGCGTGCGTACCCGTAGTGACGAATGGCGTAACGCCAGCCACAGACAGTCGAGTAACTCTTAGAACATAGCGCCTTGTGCTCTGGACCGTCTCCCCCCCACACACACACACATACACACACACACACACACACACGTCGAGTTACTCTTACACAACTCCACCTTCTCTTTTTTATCCTCCTTGTCTTTCTCCCCCATCCCCATCGTCGGATTATCCGTGGTCCGCTGTTGAACGGTCATGGTTGGGGGAGGGCCCGGGGTCGTCGCAACGTTTTCA